CACTAGTGGAAGAAAAAAGCATACCACATGAAAATACTTTTCCAACAAGTTTTCTTCAATACGTCTCCATCTAGTTGTGTTGGGGCGAGCTGGTCCTCCTACTGGCGATCGCGGCGATCGCCGCTGCTGTCGCGAACTATGAACGCTGCCTTAGGACAAGGGGCATGGACATTTTGTGGCATCCCTCGACTGCTTTTGCACCCACCACACACGATGGCGCCTGTTCCGCATTCCTCTAGAATAGGACGAGAAGCTTTCCTGGCCGTTAATGATTGAAGGGAAATGTTTGCAGTGGTTCTCAACACTTAGACAAAGAATCTATACTGGATTAGCTCCTGCAGAAATAATAAAGATATTGACCAGTATCCTCACAAGTAATACCCTAATGCGCGCAGTGAAAGGTGACACTTTCCCCGTCTGACAAAGAGCGATGCGTGCTCATCCGTCTGGTGTCTGACCTTGCAAGTGAGACGCAGAGGAAAGAATGGTTGACCTCACATGCTAGCTAGATGCCCTTGCACGCAAGCAGATTTCGTCATCGGAGCGCGGTATAAAACATGAGTCATAGGGTGACAGATAACGATTCTCCTGTTCTCTTCTGTTTTTCTGCGCCACTTTCTGGAACAGTTTTCTCTTATTCCGTTTCTATTCTGCTTTTGTCTTGAAGCGGCGGTCTGAATGGGTCTTAATAGGCTGGCATCGGGTTGTGAGGCAAATTCCTACCATTTTATGCATTTCCTCTTTCTCCAACATGTCAAGGCTTGAGAAAGTCGATCTAATGGGATACAAAGCCAATTCTGTCATTTTTGTATGACCTGCTTTTTCTCGACTTTAGGCTTCTGAAGTAGAAAGTCTAGAAAGTCCAGGCGACTGGGATGTCCACTTTTGGCCCTTGTTCAGTTCTTGTTATACATAGCCGGAAATTTCAACTCGGAATATTTCGTCTTTCAAGCTAGGGGTGTGTAGTAACTATTACAAGTGATGAAATGTGGTCACCTAGTTCAAAAATGGCATTTAGACCAAAAATAGCATTTCAACTTGTTCAATAATTCTTCACTCCAAAACGAGAAGTTCCCGAAGACCATTTGGTGGAGGCGCTTCTCATTAGGACAGTTTTTGATCCTGAGAGGAAGTGTAATGACGACCTCTCGTCACCTTCAGTCCTTTCAACCAATTTGTTTACACTCCCTTTATTTGTTTACAATTCCTAGCAAAAATACGTCTGAAACA